TTTTTGAGACAGGGTCTCCCTGTAGCCCGAGCTGTCCTGGAACTCACTATGTAGACCAGGCTGGCCTTGAACTCACAGAGATCTGGCTGCCTCTGACTCCTGAGTGCTGGGATTAAAGGCGTGCGCCACCACACCCAGCTATATAATGCAATTTTTTTTGAGACATGGTGTTTTGTTTGTTTTTATTATTTTTTATTTTATGTGTATAAGTGTATTGCCTGCATGTGTGTGAGTGCACCTGTGTCGTACAATGCCGTGGAGGTCAGAAGAGGGCTTCGGATTCCCCTGGAACTGGAGTTAAGGACAGTTCATAGCTGCCATGTTGGTGCTGGGAATTGAACCTGGGTCCTCTGCAAGAGCAGTCAGTGCTCTTGACCACTGAGCCATCTCTCCAGCCCCTTATCTTTTATTTTTAAACCTCTCCTCCTCCCTAATTTCTCAGGTAGAGATTGTGATGTCTCTGCTTGGGATGTTTTGCCCCCCTCTGTTTGAAACCATCGCTGCCCTGGAGAATTATCACCCACGCACTGGACTAAAGTGGCAGCTGGGGCGCATCTTTGCCCTCTTCCTGGGAAACCTCTACACCTTTCTCCTGGCACTCATGGATGATGTCCACCTCAAGGTAAAACCTAAAAGGACCCAGGCCTGCTGTCCAATATATTACTTTCATAATATAATAACTTTACTATGCATAATTTGTGTTAATTAAATAAATGTTGAAAGTTTAGAAAGGAAAAGTAAGAAGAAATTTCTCCAGAATCTATGACCTAAAGACTGTGCTTGCTAACATTTTGCTGCAGCTCTTTCCTGCCTTTTTCTTAGGCTGTCTCTTCCCACATCACATCCATATCATTTAGTACTCTTAATATTTTATACCAGCTTTTTTATGTTGTTTAATAAATGCTAACAACAAGTAATTGTCCATTGATGAGCTACACCATAATTTGCCTAAGTGCTCATCAATGCTTGCCGGATATTGACAGACCATCTGATACGTGAGGCCCTTGGGTACAGCAGAGAACAAGACAGTCCTGTTCCAAATGGCTTCATGCTCAGGGACAGGAGCCAGACTTGGTGGTAACAACATACTGTGGAGTGTAGTTCCATGGAGGCAAGCCCAGGGCAGCATGTCAGGACGTAGGAGGAGCTTGAAACCCCAGCTTGGGGAGTTTCGGCAGATACTGGAAAAAGCAGAGGGATCAGCTGGTGCCAAGAGGAAACTGCAAGATGGTTGGAGAATGGAGTGGAGGGAAAGAAGTGAGACGTTAGACTGGGTGATGATGAATTTCCCCCTCCTGCACTTTATTATTGCTCTGAAGAAGGTTTTCCCTGAGTAATAGGAAAGCTTCAAGAGTGAAAATGACTGGCTCAGGCTCTCAGGCCCCTTCTACCCTTGCTGGTTTCCTTTCCACCGCAGGAACTGTCCCATCCTCCTGAGCCTCATATTTTAACCTGGGGCATAATTGTCCCTTGCCTTTCTGTGAGACTGGCTGACTCATCCCAGACATCACTGCCTTGAAGGAGTCTTCTGTGGATGTTCCTTGATCCCAGAAGAAAATTTCCTACAGCTCATATCATTCTGTTTTCTAATCGCTCATCTCCATCACTGACTATACCATGAACTTCTTGACAGAAGCCTCCTCTTTTCTTGGTCACTCTTGTGTCGCCACTGATTTGTATGCACTGATTAGACCCTGAATAAACTATTCTCAAAAAAATGAGTGGATGGGTGGCTGGGTGGTTGGATGGATACTAACTTAAGGAGGGGATGACTTCATGGAAAAGATCTAAGGGCTTCAGCCTATTGCCCCCTCTCCCACGTGGACTGAAGCCTGGGAAGGGTATTTCTGAAAAGAATAGCCAGGGGTAGGGCAGAGGCAAAATGGCAGAGTTGTAGCATATGCTAGCTTTAATTGTTCCCATGGAAACTGCTGGACTGTCTGTGGCTCCTTCTAACGCCCCATCCCCATCTCTCTTCTAGCTTTCTAATGAGGAGACAATAAAGAACATCACTCACTGGACCCTGTTTAACTATTACAACTCCTCAGGTGGGAATGAGAGCATACCCCGGCCACCACTGCACCCTGCAGATGTGCCCAGGGGTTCTTGCTGGGAGACAGCTGTGGGCATTGTGAGTATGCTTTCTGACACTCGTTCTCAGGTTGACCCTTGTTCTTAGTGCCTTGTTCCTTCTTTGATATTTCCATTTGAGAAATAACCCAAGTGTTCATCTAGCAGGCATTTCTTAATAATATTGGAGGGTAAAAAATGACTAAAGCAGACTTGTGAACCCTGAGAACTACAAATCTATTTGTTGTCTTAAAAACTGTAATGAGAGGCCAGGTGTGGTGGCACACGCCTTTGAACCCGGCACTTGGGAGGCAGAGGTAGATCTCTGTGTGTTCAAGGCTAGCCTGGTCTACATAGTAAGTTCCAGGCCAGCTGAGGCTACAGGGAGACCCTGTCTCAAAAAAATACCAAAAAAAAAACCTACTCAGATATATATACCCTATCTAAGTAGAGACAGCTTTGCTTTTAGTTCTTCTACTATGTGCTTCTTTGTTTTATTTTCTCTATAAACCAAGACAAAATCTGATTAGTAGGATGTATGAAAGCTACCTGTTGTCCCAAGTGATTGATGGTCACATTCAGTCTAGGTGGGGGCAATCAGCATGTCCGAGCAGATGGAAAAACAAAGGGTGAGTTTCAGGCTCTAGCAATGGTGATTACGGGGCATTGGTCATTACTAATATACCAAGCAATTTGCATATGTTACTCATAGGCTTCCCAGCAACCCTGCAAGAGTGATGTTATTGACTCCAGAAGATTCAGAGGTTACTCCAAAGCCATTCAATTTGTAGGGCTGGGGCTTAAATCAAGCTTTCTCCAAAGTTTGAGGTCCTTTCTCTGCATCACCACTCTACCATGAAAAATCAAGCCACAGTCTTGTATGGTGTACAGGTTAGTTTTTGTCACCTGACACAAACCAGAGTCATCTGGGGAGAGGGAACCTCAATTCAAGAATTGCCTCCATCAGACTAGTCTGTGAGCATGTCTATAGGGCATTTTCTTGATTGCTAAGTGATGTAGGATAGTCTCATCCCACTGTGGATGACCCCATGCCTGAACAGACGGCCTGGGCTGCACAAGAAACGTAGCTGAGCAAGCCAGGGGGAGTAAGCCAATATGCAGCATTCCTTTGTGATCTTTGCTTCAGTGCCTGCCTCCAAGTTCCTGCCTTGGCTTCCCTCGATGATGGACTGTGAGCTGTGAGATGTAATAAACCCTTTCCTTCTCAGATTGGTTTTGGTCAGTGCTTTATCACAGAAACAAAAAAGTAACTAGAATATATGGCCTACAATCCTTTGGGAGAAGTAATCCTGGCCACTCCCATTTTCTGTATTCCTCCTTACAGGAGTTCATGAGACTGACTGTGTCTGATATGCTGGTAACATACATCACCATCTTGCTGGGGGATTTCCTGCGGGCTTGTTTTGTCCGGTTCATGAACTACTGCTGGTGCTGGGACCTGGAGGCTGGTTTTGTAAGTCATTATTTCATGCATTCCACAGTAACTGGAGGCTGGTTTTGTAAGTCATTATTTCATGCATTCCACAGTAAGGTGCTGTTACCATTCTCTCAGACTTGTATTCAGGTGAATTCTTGTGCATTTTATTTCTTTTTTAATATTTTGTTTTTATTTTATGTGTATGTGTGTATTGCCTGCATGTAGGTAAGTGCATCCATGTCATGCAATGCTCAAGGAGGACATAAGAGGCTATCGGATCCCCTGGAACTGGAGTTACAGTTGTTAGCTGCCATGTAGGTGCTGGGATTCAAACCCGGGTCTTCTGCAAGAACAGCCAGTGTTTTTAACCGCTAAGCCATCTCTCCAGCCCCACATTTTATTTCTTTGGATGCTTAAAGCAAGACTTTGTTTTCTGAAGTGGTGTGGTATTTACTCATATTTCCTTAATAGTCCTCTTTGCCGTCATAGAAGCAACGCTACCTTTTCCCATTGTAACCTTCATCTAGAAAATGGAATTCTTCAGCCCTGGAGAAAGGTGAGCCATATACTTCAGGGCTGAGCAGGTGACTGGCAGAGAAACACCTGAATGAACTCTCATGAGGAAGACTAAAATCCTCAAACAGATAAATATTTCAGAAAGTCTGGAAACAACCAAGAACTCAATAGCCAATTCCCTATCTTCTGGATTATGCTTTAAGAAACCTCTTTTGATAATCTTATTGTCCCCACCTAGGATATTCCTCTTCCCCGCCTACCCAGTAAATTCTTCATCCCAAGCCTGCCTCGTTTCCTTACCAGAGTTACTTTCTATGATTTGCCAGATCTCAGGCCCCACCCCATTTGCCTAGTATGTCTTTTTCACAACCCCTCACTGGCCTATTCACCAGTCAATGGCATTGGGAAGAGGAAATATCCTTAACCAAGCTTCCTGTGAGAAGCTCCATATCTTGGCTACTTATATAGCCCTGATCCTGGTATGTAACATGTCTGATGCTAAAGGCTCCCATACAGGTTTCTGTCATATGTTTCAAACAGTTGTATCCAACTCCTCCTCATCCATGAGAAAACTGTGTAATCATGTCTGAGAACAGTAATGAGATAATTTTATGCTAAAAAGTGATGACATCTGGGGCTGGAGAGAGAGAGCAGCAGTTAAGAGCACTGGTTGCTCTTGCAGAGGAACCAGGTTTGGTTCCCAGCACCTACATAGCAGCTAACAACCATCCATAACTCCAGTTCCAGGGGATCCAAGGTCCTCTTCTGGCCTCCATTTGCATTGCATGCATGGGTGTACTGACATACATGCAGGCAAAACACTCATATACATAAAATAAAGATAAATAAATTGCATATCGCACAGATACAAAAATGCCAGACTTGGCAGCATTTACCTATAATCTCAGTACTGGGGACAGTGAGGCAAGAGAATCACAAGCTTGAGGCCAGCTCGGGCTATATAGTGAGGCCTTGTCTCAAAAAAAAATATTATGAAGCTATAATAACTAAAGCTGGAACTAGGGAATAAATAAACTTGTCGGTAGAACAATAAAATATCCAGAAATTGACACAAGCTATAAGAGAAATCCCTTTATAAAAAGGAGGCTCAAGCCAGGCATGGTAGTGCATGCCTTTAATCCCAGCTGGGGCTACAGGGAGAGCCTGTCTCAAAAAGACCAAAAATAGATACATAATAAATAAATAATAAAAAAGGAGGCACTCTCAATAAGGAAAAAGATTGTATAAAAGTGAGCTATAGCTGGAGAGAGGACTACATTCCTTACTTATTTCACTTAATTACAGATGAACAAAAGTTTTGGGAGCGGGTTTGAGACAAATTCTTGCTATATATCTCTGGCTGGCCTGGTACTCACTTCATCGACTGTGCCACCACACCTGCCTTGAATCAAAGTGTTAAACATAAAAAAAAAAAAATTCAAAACTTGTTTTAAGCCAGGAGGCAGAGACAGGCAGATCTCTGTGAGATCAAAGCCAACTTACATAGTGAGTTTCAGGCCAGTTGGGGCTCTAAACTATTACTTTAAAAATATACATAAATGTATAAACTTAGGGGTGAGGAATATTTTTCTCTTCAGGACACATACATGAGAAAAACAGTAGACAAGTTTTTAAAAATATTTGTGAATGTTAAACTTCACATTCCCAATCCTCAGGTATTTGAATTACGTACCCCTGGATCCTTTTGTTCATGTTTTGCTGACTATCCCTTCTCTCGTTCCTGAGTTCTCGTTCTTGTTATCCCCTTTCTCCATTTCTAGAAGACAAATTGGAAAGTAGGCATAAGTACATGTGATAAGGACTCCCAGCACCTCAGCACTTGCAAGAGGCCAAAACTGTAGAGATAAGTCAGGCTTCAAATCTGAATTAATTTGAGCTCTTTCCTTTCTAGAACTGTCACCATACTGAAGGGAGATGAGAGAAAGTTAGGAGAATGTTTTAATGTTTTTGCTTATTTTAAAAGTGTCTTCGTATTGTTTCTCAATTATTTGTATTTCATTAATTGATTTCTCCATTAATTATAATTTTGAGATGAATTCCTGGTTAAAGCATTGATAGATGCTAAAGTCCTCTCCAAAATAACAAAAAAATTACATTTTTTATTGTTACTTTTGAAAAAAATTCAGCTTTAAGAATTTCAAATTTTTTAAATTTCAAAATTGACTGGGCGTAGGTGGCACACACCTTCAATCCCAGCACTTGGAAGGCAGAGGCAGGTAGATCTCTGTTGAGTTCCAGGCCAGCCAGAACTACACAGTGAGATCCCGTCTCAAAACAAACAAACAAACAAACAAAAAACACTTCAAAACTTTTCTTTAAAAGTTGAAGGTGTGGTGGCACACGCCCTTAATCCCAGCACTCAGGGGGGCAGAGGCTGGGGGATCTCTGTGAGTTCGAGGCCAGCCTGGTCCACATAGTGAGTTCCAGGCCAGCTGGGGCTAAAGGGAGACCCTGCCTCAAAAAGACCAAAAAAAAAAAAAATTGAAAACAGCTGGGTGTGGTGGTGCGTGACTTTAAGTCCAGTGATCAAAAGGCAGAGGAAGGCAAGTCTCTGTGAGATTTAGGCCAGCCTGATCTGCATAGCAAGTTCCAGGCCAGCTGAGACTACAGGAAGAGCTTCTCTCAAAAAAAAAAAAAAAAAAAAAAAGGTTGAAAACAGAACTGGGCATATAGTTCAGTTGGTAGAGTGAGGCCCTGGGTTCAATCCCCAGTGCTACATATAAACTAGGTCTGGTGGCACATGCCTGTAATCCAAGCACTTGGGAAGTTGAAGCAGAAGATCACCATAAATTTGAGGCCATCCTGAGCAGCACTGTGAGACTGAGAAATAACAGAACAGAACAGAACCTAAGCCTCCTCCTTGGTCACCAAGGTAGGCAGGCATTGTGGTACGGAGTAGCCTTGGCTGCTAGCAGGATCTGACTGATTCACCTAACGTTTGCTTGCTCTCTCTCCTTCTTTCCCTCTCCCCCTTCCTTCCTCTCTAGCCCTCATATGCTGAGTTTGATATTAGTGGAAATGTGCTGGGTTTGATCTTCAACCAAGGAATGATCTGGTAAGTTGTCCATTTCATCTGAGGATCACATAATTTGGGGAGTCAAAACACTAGCATCCCCACCTTTGCCGTTCAGTTAGCTTGGAGGAGGCTAGGCAAAGCACCTGCTTCTCTCAACGCCCTCTCTGGTGAAAATTAAAAGGCAGAACAGGGCTGGAAAAGAAGCTAAACAATTTGTAGCTAACCTATGTGCTACAATTAAAGTACAAATGAAGAAAGGGAAGAAAGGAGGAAAGAGGAAGGAGAGGAGGAAAGAGGTCAATAAAGGAACGTCCTCCCCTAGAAGCTACATGAGTTCAGCCTCACACTTCAAAGAGGCAAAATCCAAGCCAGAAATGCTCAGAATATCTCCCTTTCTTAAGACTGGATGGCTGCAGCCTGATGGCAAATATCTTGGTCAAATGAGAGGCCTCTCATCTTGGGCCTTTCAGGAAAGTAGCTTGGCCTCATGCCCCTAACCCACCCATCCCATTACCTTCTATTAGCCTTCCCTCACCTGTCCTGCTACCAGACCAACCAGGTGTCCTCTTTCTTCCCTTTCAGGATGGGCTCCTTCTATGCTCCAGGACTAGTAGGCATTAATGTGCTGCGCCTGCTGACCTCCATGTACTTCCAGTGCTGGGCAGTGATGAGCAGCAATGTCCCCCATGCACGTGTGTTTAAAGCTTCCCGATCCAATAACTTCTACATGGGTCTACTGCTGCTGGTGCTTTTCCTCAGCCTCCTGCCAGTGGTCTACACCATCATGTCCCTCCCACCCTCCTTTGACTGTGGCCCATTCAGGTGCAAAGACTTTGTTGCCTGGGAACAGTTACCCTCCTGAGGCAGTCTGCCATAGGGCCTGGCTCGGAATTCTGGTTCTGGTTTCATGTCAGCTTGCTAAGAAGCTATGGAGCTTTGAGCAGATCAGAACTATTCAACAAGCTTGTCTGTTCTGCTTCATATGGTAGCAACCAGTCACCTATAGCTAGTGAATACATGAAATGAAGAACTTAATTTTTCATTTAATTGTATTTCATTTTAATTTGAATAACTATATGTGGCTGACTACCATATTAGGTGGCACAATTCAAACCTTTTAACATTGGATAATCTACCTCCTATGATTGTCTTACCACAGGATAAGTGATGGGGGATATTCTAACCACCATCCAAATGTAAAACAGTTGATCTTGACTGAGACCGTCAACTAGTTAGCACTGAGTTCAGGTATAAATCAAACTACTTTAGGAGGTTGGATATAGTTGTATAAGGAGGTAGACTGAGCAATAATGTGTACCCTACTGTTGTCTTTATAATTATGTGACCCTCTGAAAACAAAGTTCTCTATTCAATAATAGCTCTGGCTATTGTCAGAACAGCTTAAGTGATCTAAGTCTATGTATTAGCATTTAAAGAAATAATTTTAGGGCTGAAAAATTGGCTCAGTGGTTAAGAACACTGGCTGCTCTTGCTGAGGACCTGTGTTCAACTCCCAGCACCCACATGGCAGCAAACAACCATCCATAACTCTAGTTCCAGGGAATCCAACACCCTCTTCTGACCTCTGTGGGCATTGTATGACACAGGTACACTTACATACATGCAGGTAATATACTCATACACATAAAATAAAAATAAAATATATTTTTAAAGAAGTAATTTTAGATAAATAAAAATTGGCACTGGGGATATTCATTTATTTAAAAAATAATTCTGGGATTAAAGGTGTCTGGAACTTGCTGCCCCTTTTATGTATTGTCTTCTGACTTAGAAATGCTCTATGCAACCTCCTCTAGAATTTTACAATTGCATAAACCACTGTTCCCATCCTTGCTGAACATCATCCCAGACATGAAATGGACTAAGGCAGATGAGTGGGGCCCTGCAATGCCCTTTCATGACCCTAAGAGCAAGTAAGTATCTTCTCCAGCTGTACACCCCAGGCCTTACCCACTTACTCTAGAGCCAGCCCCACCTACTAGTATGAAGTACATTGTGAGAAATGCTAGTTAGCGACTTCTCGATTTATAAGGGATTTTACCTAGATAAGGGCCTGTGGTTGGTGGAACCCAGAGGAGGTGTTCACAGGAATGTTCCATCAGAGCATGATTTGATCAGACAGGGTTTGAGTAGAGGGAAGAGGGTGTCAGTCCAGGGTAGAAGGCTGTAGAAGGTCAGAGGCACCAGAGTGAAGGGACAACCATGTGGAAGAAGTCTCAGTTGGCCTCTTCCTGAGCAAGTCTGGATGCAGATGCCACCATTGCTTTCTCAGATTGCTCACACGCGCACAGGAATGATGTCCACTTGGCCTGTGCCATGCCTACTCCTTGCCATCTTGCCCTCTTTTGCTTCATCTTGTTATCTTCTCCCCCATCAGAACATAACAGGGAGGGGACGGTATTTGCTTCCTTTCTCACGGTTTTCTACTCAGTGTATGGAAGAAAACAACTGGCCAATGGCTGATGTTCCAACTATATCCAGTATCTCACAGAAATTCAGTTGTATGGGGGGGAAAGTTAGAGTTTGGACCACACTAAATGCCTATAGGGGCCAGGCAGGCAACATAAATGAGATGGGCAGCACTGCATAGCACACAGTACACACAGGGATTGGGAAGCTCTGCTTTCTGGAACAAATCCAGACCACCAACTGTTTTTGTAAATAAAGTTTACAGGAACAGCCCATTGATGCACTTCCATAGAGTCTAGGAGCGCTTCCTCACGACAACAGTAGGAATGAGTAACTGAAGCAATAAACATCCTACCCACAGAGCAAAAAATTTCATTATTCAGGTGTTTGCAGAGAAAACATACCAATCCCTTCATTTAGAGAACAGAGCTAAGAGCCAACTCTGTCACTGACCAATGAGGTAGTCTGGAGCTCTGCACAATAGGGCCATAGCCCTATTACAGAAACATCAGTAATGTTTAGCTCATAGGGTTGTTTTGAGGATCTAGTGTGTTGTTATTTGTAAGGTTCGAGGACAGTGATGGTCTCTATTGAGGATATTTGTGAGCCTGTGAAGCCTGAGCCCTCCCCAAATTGAGAACAGCTGGTGCTCACCTCAGCTAACTGCTGCCATGAATACTGGCCCGTTATTATAGGCTTTCCAGCTCTTCATAGAAATCTGAACATTTATTTGAAATCCCCTACCACTTTTACTTTAAAATTAATTTAAAAATTTTAAAAACACTATACAAACCCACAAAATAAATCTGTGGACATGGATCACATCGTGGCCAGCATTTGACCTGTTTCCTCCAAAACAGAGCCTCTATATATTCAATGTGCAAGTATCTAGGTGTGCAAATAAGGGATACAGCAAGAGAGCGGCTAGAGATATTTTAGCCACAGGCTGTCTTTTCGCATGGCCGGTGAACCAAGAATTAATTAGACATCTGAAGCTGATTTAGATCAGTTCATGATGTGCAGTGTTTCTAGACATGCTGGTCGTTTTTATATGAATGGTAACATGGAGCATTCGTTTCTATTCCAAATTCCTCACTCTTTACTCATTTTTGAGAGAAGAGGAAGAGTAATCCCATCACCATGGAAATGAGGAACGACTAGATTCTGGTCCCACAGTATATCTATCTCACAGGAGAGGTGCAGCAGGCTGTGGTTTCTGAGTGATCTCCAAAGTCAGTCTGTTTATGGCTCAGGTCGCTTTGTTTTTAAGGAAGACAGGGATACTTTTAATTTACTTTCCCTTCTACCTCTGGATTTGTTAAAACTGTACCAGTATCCTTTGCAATTGGCCAGAAGGAGGAAGAGGAAGAGGAAGAGGAAGAAAGGTGCCAAGGACCCTGCTAAGCCTTCAAATGAGCACACACTGTCAGTAAAAACAGTCACAGATCGTGATATGGAGATAGTCAAGGTGCTCTGAAAGCCTTGATTGTGACGGGCACTAAATGAGAAATGAATTTAATCCTTATAAAACCACCATTAGGTGGGAAGCACTAAGGATCAGCTAGCTTTGCCTATCTGTAAAGGGCCTGATAGCATATATTTGAAGCTTTTGTGATTTGTCCCCTCCAAAACTCTTGTTGAAATCTTGCTTGCCTCTTCTATATATACCTGCTCACACTTCCAGTTTCTACCATAAGTGATAGCAACCCACAATGCAGCATCACCAGCAGAATGATGTAAGAACAGAGGGTGAGGAGATGGTGGAAACAGGGAAAGGTCTGAAGATGCTATGCTGCTGGCTTTGAAGATGAAAGAAGGGGACTTCAGCAGAGGGATACCTCCCTCAGAGGACTGTAACCCTACAGACACCTTGAGTTTAGCCCACTGAAATCCTTTCAGACTTCTGGCCTACAAAGCTGTAAGATAGTAAATGTGCATTGTGTTAATCCACCAGTGTGGCCATTTGTTACAGCACCCGCTGAGCTAATACTTCAAAAACAAAATAATTCACATTCAATTTGACCTAAAAACATAGTGCTTGAAGTTCTCTTCCTTTTGCTTTACTGACTAGTAATTTTTTTTTTTTTTTGGTCTTTTTGAGACAGGGTCTCCCTGTAGCCCCAGCTGTCCTGGAACTCACTATGTAGACCAGGCTGGCCTTGAAGTCACAGAGATCCACCTGCCTCTGCCTCCTAAGTGCTGGGATTAAAGGTGTGCGCCACCATGCCTGGCCTGATTTTTTTTAAAAAAATCAAATGTTACCAGGTGGCGCTTGAAATGTCATGTTATAACTACAATTTACAGGCTGGAGAAAAGACTCAGCAGTTAAAAGCACTGACTGCTCTTACAGAGGATCCAGGTTCCATTCCAAGCACCCATATGGTGGGTAAAAACCATCTGTAACTCCAGTTCCAGGGGGATCCAACTCCTTCTTCTGACCTCCTCAGGCATTGCACAACACAGGTGCACTTTTACACATACATACACACACACACACACACACACACACACACACGCAATACACTCATACACATAAAAATAATAAAATTTTTTAAATAGCTACAATGTTACAGTTTGGGGTTTTTTTCTTTTTTCTGAGACAGATTCTGACTATATAGCTCAGGCTGGGTTTGCACTCATGATCTTCCTGCCTCAGCTTCCCAAGTGCTGGGATTGCAGCCATGCAATACCAAGCCCAGATGAAATGTGATGTGTAGTATACTGCACAACAGTATAAAGCAATGAGATGGTCACAGTGGTTTCCGATTCAAATGCTCAGCTCTGCCTCATAGGACAGTAAGCTATAGACAATACATAAATAAATAAGCATGCCTGTACTCCAATAAAAGTTTACAGGCATTGAAATGTAAAAATCATACTTCAAACAGGGTGTGGTGGTGCACAACTTTAATCCCAGCACTTAGGATGCAGAGGCAGGCAGATCTCTGTGAGTTCAAGACCAGGGAGTTCCAGGACAGCTGGGGCTACAGGGAGACCCTGGCTCAAAAATACCAAAAAAAAAAAAAAAAAAAATCACACTTCAGTATTTGTTTGTTTGTCTTTTTGAAGCAGGGTCTCCCTGTAGCCCCAGCTGTCCTGGAACTCGCTATGTAGACCAGGCTGGCCTTGAACTCACAGAGATCCGCCTGCCTCTGCTTCCCAAGTGCTGGGACTACAGGCGTGTGCCACCATGCCCGGCTCACACTTCAGTTTTTATATGTCACAAGATATTACACTTGATTTTTTTACAACCACTTAAAAAGGTAATAATTTTTTTTAATTTTCTTAGCTTACAGGTCATATAAAAACAGGTAACAAGCAGAATTTGTCCCAGAGGTATTGTATTGTCAACCTGATCTCTACACAAAATAAAACTTCTAACTACAACATCACAGAATATATCTAATATGGGCTGGAGAGAAGGCTTAGCAGTTAAGAGCACTGACTACTATTGAAGAGGACCTGGGGTCAATTCTCAGCACCCACATGGCAGCTATGAACTGTCCTTAACTCCAGTTCCAGGGGAATCTGACTCCCTCTTCTGACCTCTGCTACAATGCATGACACAGGTGCACTCACATACATACAGGCAATACACTCATACACATAAAATAAAAATAAACTTTTTGTAAAAAGAATATACCTAATATAACTTAATAGCAACACACTGAGTACTTTATATAATTCATGTCTATATCCTCTGTATTAGTATTGTCCCATATCACTTAGAGAGAGAAGAGGGAATTAGGGCAGAGAAATTCCCAACTGCTTCACCAAGGGTACCAAATCTCAGCATGTCCAATCAAAATCCCTGTAGTGGGGAGCACCCCATATCTGCTTTTATACTACAGTTGTTACTAATCACAGGACTGTGGACACTTGAAATATTTGACTAAAACACAGAATTTTACATTTTATTTCATTTTAATTTATATATTTTTTTACTTTATTTAATAACCACATAATTAGTAAAAGCATTTCATTACAACAGCATTGACATAGTCAATAACAGCTTCCAGAGCAAAGATGCAGCTCTTTCAAAATTGGCTGTAAATTTTTAAGTTCACTGTGTTGAATTAATATAGTTACAATATTGTACTCTGAATAAACCCGATAAGACATAAAATTA